GGGCTGGCCCGGGGGGACTGCCCTGCAGCGGGGGGCCAGCCCCTCTTCACAGGGGGGCCCAGGAGCACAGCAGGTCAGCAGAGAGGACTGGAAATTCCCTCTCGGCTCTGCCTCTTGTCACGCTCTCACTTCTGTTCTGACTGTGCCGGGGGCCGGCATCGGACCCGGCTGCAAATAAAACCTCTCCTTGGGGTGGGGAACCCCAGGTTGCCTGGTCACCCCATGGCCATGGGGACCATGATCTTGAGGACCAGGGCTCCCTACTGGGGAAGATGCCAACGAAGGCATCTCTGGTGTCCCTCTGCGCCGGCGGGCTGTGTGCCAGCCCTGCCGCGGCAGTGCCAGAAGGGGAGGATGGGGGGGGAATCGGTGTGGGCCGGCAGATCGGCTGGCATGGGGACTGTGCCACGCAGGTGATCTTGGACTGGTGCCGGGCTCCTGCCCAGCTTTGGCCACCTGCCTTTGCCGGGGGGGGGAAGTAGAAGTGTGGTGTGCAGCCAGCAGCGGGGAACTGGAATTCCCCAGGCAGCTGCCGGAGCCTAGACCTCCCTCCGCAGCCACCAAACCCAGATCTTGGGCTCTGTGAAACACATCCCAGGCTCTTTGGACCTGCCCTGGTTGGAGGCCTGGCTTTGGGCAGTGCTTTGTCCAGGCGCTGTGCGTGCTGTGAGGTCCAAGAGAGGACCCTGTGGTGCTTAGTGGGGTCAGGAGGGTCTGTTCCCAGTGGGGATTGGAGTGAGGGACTGCCCTGAGCAGCCTCAGGCCATGTTCCTGCCTTGCCCTGCTACTGCACTTCCCCAGGGAGAGGGCAGGATGGAGAAGCTCTGAGCTGGTGGGAAGGGAAGGGGACTGAGGGAGGCAGGGAGGTTATTCCTCCATGCAGCAGTGGAGGATCTCCACTCCTGAGCATTGCACTCGGGACTTACTTTTTTTTTGTGTTTTTCCCCTTTATCCCCTCTGTAGGTTGGTTCACCTGGCCATTATCCACTGCGTCCCAGCTGTGGCACTCTGCTGCATCGCTCAGCTGCCCAGGGAGGTGCTGGAGATCCAAAATGATCTGTTCCAGGTATGCGGATGTGATAGGCAGAGGATGGGAGGAAGGCCAGTGCTGCAGGCTGCTGCCTGGATAGATGCCCAATCCATCTGTCCTTTCCCCAGGACCCCCCATCCACTTCCACCAGAGCGTGGTGAAGGTCCCGTGTGAGCAGCCTCTTTTTGGGGAGGGGAAGAAAGGTGTGGAAAGATGCCCTGAGAGAGAGACATGACAGCTCCCAGCAGGGCAGGGTGAAGGGGTCCTTTACGAGGCCCCAGGACATTGCAGACAGCCCTGGAGGGTGGAGCAGGCACTGCTTGAATGTGGCAGGGTGGATAACCTGGGAGAGTGAGATCTGCCCCCGTTGGTGATCCTTGAGCTGAGGTGCGGGGGGAGAGCAAGCCATTTGCACACCCCAGTGTCAGCCATGATTAACCCTGGGGTAGGGACAGGCTCCTGCGTGGCGGCCTGCCTGTGCCACCAACCTGGCTCTTGTAGGCTGGCTTGGCTTGCCACGCTCGGTGTCCTGCGGGGCATCCCCCCCGTTTCCTAATTTCTGTCCCCACCCCCTCTCTAGACCCCTCTCCACCTCGCCGTGTACCTAGAGCAGCCCAGCGTGATCCAGGCACTGATCCACAAGGGAGTGAACCCCGGGCTGCAGGACCGCAACGGCAATACCCCGCTGCACCTGGCCTGCGAGCAGCAGCGCCTGCGGTGCGCCCAGCAGCTGCTGCAGGGCACAGCCCCGCCGGAGGGCAC